TTTAAAAGTTTTAGGAAGAAAGCTTCGTTCCACATCTATGTTTTAAAGCAATGAACTTTCCTTTTTAAATGTCGCACTTTACAATAACCTTTAAAGACTATGTCACTGGAATTCTAATATAAACATATTTGAACCAAAATCTATACATTTCTAGAAAGTGGTAACTTCCTGTCATGGCTTTCCTTATAATTTGTTTGAAATCAAATGTCTCATTTACTCTTAAAACTGAGTCTTACATTAAGACTCAATACAATAGTGACATTTTCTAAAATGGGGGGAAAAACCAGGACAGTGGAATTTTATTTTTAAGTTTCCAGAACTTGGCAGTTTTGAACAAGGTTATCTGTATTTTTGTTTCCCACTTGATAAATTACACCAACCTGTAACGTTTTGCTTTCCCTACAACAGCACAACAACATTTAACACTTGGCTTTATCTTTTTCCAAATACAGTGGTACCTCTGGTTACAAACTTAATTCGCAAGTGAAAAGGTATTGGCTTAGGCATTGGATTACGTCAGCTGACTCCACCCACTCGGAGAGGGGTGAGTCTAAAAAACAAAGGGGGTTTATTCACCAGTAGGTGGAGCCTGTTGATGCTAATCCAACTATAAGCTCTCCCCTGATGTCACCGAGGGTCGTGCCTTGGCCTCCCGCCAAGCAGGCATCGGACAGAATACACGACCGCCGGATTCCTTTAACGGAATACCCAAAAACTGAAGGCGCAGGCGATGGCCACACCTAGCCCTTCGACACCACAACACATTATTCCAATGCCTAACCTACCCACCAATACCACAAAAGTTGTGACGATTGCTAAGACGTAGGCGAAAAAACCAAAAGGCCTAATGCCAAATGGAAAAATTCCTACCAGGCCCCCGGACAACCAGGGCGACCAACCTAAGGTCCATAGCAAGGCCAAAAGAAAACTGGAAACCCTGCTCTAAGGGTGTGGAGGGTGGGTGACTCGTGACGGGACGACAAAAAGTGAGGGCTGGAGGCTGGCACCGCAGCAATTTAGGCTGCTGTACACGCCCCCTTGAAGGCACCTGGTTGGGTGCCTGGCCGAGGGCGTGGGCGCCAGCCAGGTGGGTGGGAGGCAGGGGGCAAATGCCCCCTGCTTGAGGCGGAGTCCGGCTCCCGGCCACAACCACTCCCCTCTCTTGCAGGAAGGAGAGTCTCTCTGGTTACAAACTTAATTCGTTCCAGACGTCCGTTCTTAACCTGAAACCATTCTTAACCTGAGGTACCACTTTAGCTAATGGGGCCTCCCGCTGCCGCCACGCCGCCACCACTACGCAATTTCTGTTCTCATCCTGAGGTAAAGTTCTTAACCCGAGGTACTACTTCCGGGTTAGCGAAGTCTGTAATCCGAAGTGTTTGTAACCCGAGGTGTTTGTAACCTGAGATACCACTGTATATTTACAAACTAATAGATTATAAGAAAACATGGCGTGTTGTTGGGGGTTCATTTTTAAAATTTTGTTGGAAGCCACCCAGAGTGGCTGGAGAAACCCAGCCAGATGGGCAGGGTATAAATATTATTATTATTATTATTATTATTATTATTATTATTATTATTACTATTCTTATAATTTGCAAAATACTACACTGGACCCTGACAAAGTTAGTTGAATTTTGGGCCCACTGAAAACCATGGGACAAGTAAGTGATGGTTTAAACTGAGTGTAACTAACTCACTGTGTATCCAAACTACAATTTGTAAAATTCAGTAGTTCCTCAATTATTTTGTTCTCCTAACAATTGGACTTACTACGAAATTTGTGGTTTTGGGATTTCAGCCTAAATTACCATTTTGGATGGAAGGAAAACCACTTCCAGAACTGTAAAAGAATATAATGGAAATATAGTGGAATATAATCCAAGTTTACTGCTGATTTCTGTGTTATTTGCTTCCAGGGGAAAAAAATATTTGAAAATAATATGAAAGTGGGTGCTAAGCTTGTGCTATATTTCACTATAAGGTAAAGTTAAAGGTACCGCTGACCATTAGGTCCAGTTGCAGACGACTCTGGGGTTGTGGCGCTTTTGTCCGCAGACAGCTTCCGGGTCATGTGGCCAGCATGACTAAGCCAGACACAGCATGGCGAACCAGAGCAGTGCACAGAAACGGCGTTTACCTTCCCGCCGGAGCGGTACTTATTTATCTACTTGCACTTGACGTGCTTTCGAACGGCTAGGTGGGCAGGAGCTGGGACCGAAAAATGGGAGCTCACCCCGTTGCAGGTATTCGAATCGCCGACATTCTGATCGGCAAGCCCTAGGCTGTGTGGTTTAGACCACAGCGCCACCCGCCACTATTTCACTATAGTTCCACTATATTCCACTTATAGTTCTGGAAGTGGCTTTCACATCAAATATAAGGTGGAAATCAACAGTTAGGGAAATATTGTGAAAATGGAATAAGCTACCAAGGTCCATAGCAGTCCATGAAATTGAGCACCAAGTCCAAGCAGCTTCCACAGAAATGGCACAGGGCTGAACTTTCCATCCATTTTGGCTGCTCTACTGTGTGCTTGGAGTTTACTGGTTTGGTAGGCCCAGCAAGGTCCACATTAACAAATCTGGATTTATGTATTTATTTCAACAAACTGCAAAGGACAGTAGGACTTCCCCTTGAGTAATGAATTCTATTCTGTCTTTATTAAGAAGCTTCAAGTAAATTAATTGCTAACCTGGAAGCTGTGATAACACAGTGGATTTTTACAAAAAACAGTACGTTACTTCTCTCTTCAGTATAATTATGATGTCATTTGCCCAAAACAGAGAGTTGAGAGAAGCCGCAGTTCCTCCTCAAGCCACATGACACCTGAAGTTGACTCATGTAGCAAAAGCTGGGGTAGAAAGATGAGATATGAATCACCTGCTTTAAAATGAGTGGGGAGTGCGTTTATAAAAAGCAAATGTACCTATTCATGTAATCAACACATTAGAACAAAAATCAACATACTGTGTTAATCACAAAACCCTTTTGGTTGTTAATCTGATAAACCATTAAAGCACAGCTTGGGAAACATTAACTGGCATACACAAACCCAGAACCATCCTATGATATATGTAAAACAGCTGAGGGGTTTTTTTCCTCTCCCTTTGGATAATCTGTTATTCATATCCCAGGAATTACGGTAAATGCCTTAGGTATTGAATTAAAACACAGAACACACACATTTGCAGAAAAGCCAATTTCCCCCCGCCAAACCTGGCGAATAGAAAATCCCCAAGTTAAAAATGGATTGTGATCTGGAATGCAAATGAATATTCCAAATGCTCAGATGCTTTTTTTCCCCTTTAAGTGGTCAGTACCCTGGACCTAGGAACAGGTTGGGGGCTTAGCTGGTGGAAAGGGAAGGGAGGACGTAGCACCATCCCAACAGTAGACAACTGTCAGATTCAGCACTCAACTTGCCATAATCCAGGGGACCTGTTATCAGGCTTTGCTAAGGGATGCTTTTTTGCATTTTGTGCATGAGGGGATGATATATTAATTTGGGCAGGTGCGTTGTGTATAAGGTATGCATACAGCGTACGTGCCCGCAACAGAGGCAGCAGAGAGTTCTGTGGATATTTATGGATCATTCCCATTTGTTTCCGTTACTGCATAATGCACCTCTTATTTCAGCTAGTTCGGTTCAAAATTTTTCCTTACTTCTGACATTCTAAATGTGAAAACCCACTTTCTGGAAGGTACTTTAATTCTGAAGTTCTGTTTACTGAATATATAGCTCTGTTATAGGAATCAATTATTAGGATTCTCATTGGTGATCTTTGGGAGAGCCTGTTATATAAAAAGGTAGATGGAAATTGTATTCTTTTCTCTCCACTAGCCCTTTGGCAGACAAAACAAGCCTAAGTGCACCACAAAGCAACAGCTCCTTAAATTTTGCACAGACATTTGCCATATTTTATTTTCCCTTTCTAGTCACTTTTCAACAAACCATTAAAACAAATCATGCTAGCACAGTACTAGAAATGTCAACGAACACAATGAAGGTTATATAACCATAAATCTGTGGGCAGAACACAAGGTGGTTTGTGTATAGCAGAGGCACTCTGATTTACAAATGCAGTGAACTTTTGAAATCTTCAAAAGCTAGGAACGAATTAGGAAAATGACAGTCATGTACCATGCATATCTAATTAATACACAACCATCATAATGTGTCCTCTGTTCCACTTGTAGATATCAAACCATCTTTTTCCAGAGCAGCCTAGCAGAATTCATTTTAGCTTGTTTTGTGGTAGGCTGATGTGTCCTGAAGGTCTGGCACTCTAAGCCTCTATACCAAACAAAGCAGCAGTGAGGACCAGGCACAAGAACTGCTGCCGCTGAACAATCTTAAATTGTCAGTTGTTGTGCCAGTATCCTAGACTCTACTGTGATGATGCAACAGTGTGGACCAGCACTAGCTAAAACAGAAGAAGCCAGATAAGATGACTACATATCTATCACCTCCAAAAGGGGAAATGCGTCACCCAAAGAAAGGACAAAAGCAAGCACAGATTTGAATGAAATCTACATGTAATTCATACATAAAGGTAAAGGGACCCCTGACCATTAGGTCCAGTCGTGGCCGACTCTGGGATTGCAGCGCTCATCTCGCTTTATTGGCCGAGGGAGCCAGCATACTGCTTCTGGGTCATGTGGCCAGCATGACTAAGCTGCTTCTGGGAAACCAGAGCAGCGCACGGAAACACTGATTACCTTCCCACTGGAGAAGTACCTATTTATCTACTTGCACTTTAATGTGCTTTCGAACTGCTAGGTTGGCAGGAGCAGGGACCGAGCAACGGGAGCTCACCCCGTCACGGTGATTTGAACCGCCGACCTTCTGATCGGAAAGTCCTAGGCTCTGTGGTTTAACCCACAGCGCCACCCGTGTTCCTAATTCATACATATAGATACACTTTTAGAAAGAATGACTATAGTGTAAATATAAATATAATATGCTTTACCATAGTGGGGAAGACCAGGTGACAGGAAGGGGTGTGGCTCAGTGGCAGAGCATCTACTTTGCATGTAGGTTCCAGGTTGAATCCCTAACATCGCTAGATATGGCTCAGATGGTCCCCTGCCTGAAACCCTGGAGAACCACTGCCAGTGTAAACAACACTGGGCTAGATGGACCGATTGGTCTGGCTCAGTATAGTGCAGCTTTCCTGTGCTGTTCTTGTGACCTGTGCCTCTGGCTGCTCAGTCTGTGCTCCGGCTGCTAACTGCCATTGGGCAATTTCAAGGTCCCTGACTCCCTTCTCATGGTTCTTCACCTTTAAAATGAATGGGCTGGGCAACCTTTCAAATAAAAGTCACCTCCAACAAAAAACTGCTCTCTGAAAGCCCTTCAAATAGAGCACCGTCCTTGGTTATGACACATGGTCACCCTAAGCCAGATGAATGGTGGCTTTACAGTGGAACCTCGACTTACGTATGGCTCTACTTATGTACAATTCCAGTTACGACCTTCAGTAGGTGCTTCGACTTATGAACTTTTCTCTAGATACAAACAGAGGCTTTGCCAGCTGCGGGGCAGGACTGGGGCCTCCACCGCCGGGGAGTGGTCTTGCCAGCAACCCAGAGCTTGTCTGGTCGTCTGCAGGGCAGCGCTGGGGCCTCCACTGCCAGGAGAGGCCTCCGGTTTGCCAGAGCTCACCCCACCGGCTGTGGAGCAGCGCTGAGGCCTCTGCTGCTGGGGAGAGGGCCCCCATCCCACCCCTGAAGCTGTGGAAGAGGTGCCGCCTGCAAGAGGCACAGCAGGGCGCACTGCAGCCCCAAACCCCGCCAAGGAACTAACCTGAGGAAGTCCAGAGAAGAACCTGGCCTGGCAAGAAAAACAAGTGACCCTGGCCGAAGTGAATCAGCTCTTTACTGACCCACCCCCAGCTTGTAGCCAGGTAAGCCCACCTGCCCACCCTCAGTGCATGTAAGGGGGAAAAAAAGTTAATTTTTTTCATCTACAATACTGTCTTATTTATTTTATAGTACAGTACATTGATTATTGCCTTCATTTTATGGTCTTGTTAGACTGTAAAATCCATGTTAAATTGCTGTTTTAGGGGGTGTTTTTCATCGTTAGAACGGATCGATTCACTTTTCTACTACTTTCTATGGAACAGTACGCCTCTACTTATGTATATTTCTAGTTATGACCGGACCTCCGGAACAGATTATGGTTGTAAGTAGAGGTTCCACTGTATTTAAAGCTCTTACTTGGCAAAGAAAGGGGGTGCAGAGCATGGTGAAAGCAAGGCAGGACTGACCTCTGCTTACATCACCTAACCAACCAACCAACCAACCAACAAACAAACAAACAAGCAAACAGGAAGGCAGTAGATATAGAAGGCAGAGGAATCTTTCAAGATTCTTTTGCAGCAGAGTCGGAGGCCAAAGACACAAGCTGCTTGAGACTAAGAGTCCTTTTGATAAAGATTTCTGAAACACGTTGGATGCAATAAATGTATTTCTGTGTACCTGGAGGCTTTGTACTTGGCCTGCATGCCATCTCTAAGCCATTCCACTTCAAGGGCTACACACCTGACTGTGTCACTTAAGATGGTGATACTGCTTTTTGAACCCCAATGGCTACGAATGCCTTTCTAAAATCTTGGGCTGCTATCCAAAACACATTGCAACAAAGTAGTGCACTTATTCTAAAAAGCATTTTGTGGGTTCATTACACACAGATTTCTCCTTAATCTTTCTAATGCCATAAGACTAGTTTTCCCTATTAGCAAATCTCCACCTGGTCACTGATAATGAAATCTGCCCTAGTAATGCTCCTTATTGTAAAGTAAGCTGCTTAACAGTAACCACCATGCACAAACATTATAACAACAACACTATAAGGGAAACAGAAAAACAAAATACGTGATGACAAGTTATTATTAAAGGGATCTCTCTTTTTTTAGTGCAAAAGTATGCATACCCTTGAATTACTACCAGAATTGTATTATCTTTTAACCTGGAAAGTCACCTGTTTGATAATACAATCCTAAAGTACCACGTTCACAATCTTCAGTCCTATACAATGGGCTCATGGGAATGACGCCATGTCATGATGTAGCCAATGAAGACTACCATCTTCGCCATACGCACAAGAATAAGATGTGAACTGGCCTCTCCCCCACAGGGTTAGCTGCCGTGGCTGAAATCTACTATTGAGCCAGGTTCAAAGTCCTTGTATTAATTTACAAAGCCCTGAGCAACTTAGTTCCACGGTACATTAGGGACCGCCTAAACCCTTATTATCCTGGCTTGATCACTGATATCATCTGCAGGAGTGTCTTTGGTGGTGGCCCCAAGCAATGAAAAACGGAGCTTTTAGTGTCGTTGGCCCTGTCCTGTGAAACACTCTGTCAATAAAAGATTCAGCAGGCACCTTCACTACTAACCTTCAAATGCCTGCTGAAAACTTAAACTTTTCTATGCTACTTGGCTTATGCAGGCGAATTAGAAAATGTGTTTCTGCAAGAATTAGTTGAAGCTCTCTGGTTTTATGTGATTTTTTAAATTGTATATAGATATTTGTGTTGTAAATCATGTTGATGTTTTTAATGATATCGTGGTACAGAAATATTTCTATAAACAAACAAACAAACAAACAATTAATCACTAGGTTCACAAAGGATCAAAAAACATCTGTAAGAAGCCATTACAAAAAGAAAACAGCTGCATGGGATGGTGTTTATTCCCATTGTATTTTTTATATAGTTCTTTTTCAAAGGCGAACAATGTATTTAGTTGGGAAACAGTAAGAACGACATCACCTTGCCAACAAAGGTCCGTATAGTTAAAGCTATGGTTTTCCCAGTAGTGATGTATGGAAGTGAGAGCTAGACCATAAAGAAGGCTGATCACCAAAGAATTGATGCTTTTGAATTATGGTGCTGGAGGAGTCTCTTGAGTGCAAGATGGACTGCAAGATCAAACCTATCCATTCTTAAGGAATCAGCCCTGAGTGCTCACTGGAAGGACAGATCGTGAAGCTGAGGCTCCAATACTTTGACCGCCTCATGAGAAGAGAAGAAAAGACCTGGAAAAGACCCTGATATTGGGAAAGATGGAGGGCACAAGGAGAAGGGGACGACAGAGGACGAGATGGTTGGATGGTGTTCTCAAGGCTACCAGCATGGGTTTGACCAAACTGCGGGAGGCGGTGGAGGACAGGAGTGCCTGGCGTGCTCTGGTCATGGGGTCACGAAGAGTCGGACATGACTAAACGACTAAACAACAACAACAAAGAACTACTTGAAAATCCTTCCTTGCTATTGCTAATAGGATCAAAGACGATGCAGCCATTTTTGTGTGTGTGGCAATCAGAGAATGGATCTGTCATTAACATTGCAGGTATCTTCTCAGGCATACACAAAAGTGTATCCTTTTTGCTATGGATTAATTAATCTACAATAACCACACCACTCCCTGGTTCCATAGGGAGTTGCAACTGAACTTTGCCTAAAGTGGAATTTATGTGACAGATTTCACTGGACAGAGCATGTGGGGGAGGGGGAATTGTCATCATAATCATTAATTCATGAGAGATGCTGAAGATAGAAAACTGACAGGCAGCTTGGCTTTGCTGTTTGTGTAGGTGTGTATACATGACAAAGGAAGGGTGTAGTAAAAATCCTTTCCTGATGAATTCCTTTCCTTTCCAAATGAATTCACAAAAATTGAAAGGCAGTTATCACCCCTACTCCTTGGCTCCTACCCCCACTTTTTTTGCTTAGGGTACAGTTAAGTTGTAATTTATATTATCATTTTTTTAAATTAGTTCTTGTGTCCTTCACCCCACTCAGAAAGTAATCGAAGACCCAGCAATTATCTCACTATACAGAGAGCACACTGTTTGTTTGATCCATAGTCTGAGTCCATTTGTAAAGCATTTAAGGATTCCTATAATGACAATTTTTTCCAGTCGCAAAGCAAGAGATAAATCTCTTGATAGCCCACCTTAAGGCAGACCTGGGGAATGTGCCTGGTCAGAACTGCAGATTCAGGCTGTGTTTCCTCATTAATATCTCCATGGCAAATGCTCCAGCTGATTTCAGCATTACCATTATTAATAAGTATAATAAAACCACCAGTGGGCAAAATAATCAAGGAAGGTACGATTAAACAAAACGACATGAAAGCCTATTGAAATTTTCTTCTTTTCTTGCATGTTCTGCAAGTATCCTAATTATTCATTTAAAAAGATACTGCAGTGTTTCACATACTAAGTGCACTTATATGTAGTCTCACAAAATGTTGATTTGCTTAATTACACATGTGGATTGGCCACAGCTCTGTTGTCAGTGTATGCTCAGTAGCAAAATCAGGCTACATGTTGGATCTGAAAACTGCAAATCTATCCGTCGTACTTAGCTGGGAGTAAGTTTGTAGAATACAATCAATCTTACTTCTGAATAAATGTGCATAGGATTACATTGCAGCTTGGTTGCATTTGGGCCCCATTGATTTAAATAAGAGCCTAAGGGCAAGTAGCTATTCTGGATTCACCCATTACGCTTACTGGTACAAATCCAAGTTCATCCGGCTGCAATCCTATAAACACTTGCCTGAGAGTAAGTCCCATTGAACTCAATGGAGTTTATTTCTGAGGAGGCATATAAGGGATTGCACTGTTACTGACACAGTCCTTGGTCCCAGAGGTTCTTTTGCATCCCAGAGGGCATCTGATGATAATTGGCTCTTAATGATGGTGCTCTATCTTTGGCAAACCTATTTTTGAAAGCCACAAATGCTTACCTTACATACCATTGCTAATCATCTCCAGGCTTACTTATAATATATTTTAAGTAAATACGTGGTGAATAGTAATCAGTTATTTCGCGCATGCTAAATGAAGTGATCTGAAAATAACTTGTGTCTCTGGCTATTTCTTCCATGGAAGCAATCTGAAAAGGTTGGTGTGCATCTGCTACAAAATAACTTAAATCAATAAACAAACCATTAAACGATAGAGTAGGTTCTGTCCTTAGTATTAGAATTAACACAATAATACTGTTTTACTACCAATTGCAAGCAACTTGCAATTGGGTTTGGAGTAGAC